ATGCTATAAAAAGAATTTTTTGATATCTAAGTAGAACTAGAACTTTAGGACTTTTGTATCCAAAGGACACTCACATTGACTTAATTAGTTATTTGGATGCCGATTGGGACGGATGCAATATTGATCATAAAAGTGCTATTGGAAGTTGTAACTTTCAAGGCTTTGCACTTGGGTCTTGGTCTATCAAGAAAAAAATCCGTTGCACTATCCACCGTCGAGGCGGAATACATTTCAATAACAAGTTGTTGTGCACAAGCATTTTGGATGAACTCTATGTGATTATCACTTATCTTACGATCACGTACCCATTATGTGTGATAATACTAGTACCATCAACTTGTCTAGAAATCGTGTCTTGCACTCCCGAACTAAACACATTAAAATTAGACACCACTTTCTAGATCATGCACAAAAGGGAGACACGTGTTAGAATTCATAAAAATCGAGAATCATTTGGCTGATATTTTCCCCAAACCTCAAGCACATGATCGATTTTCACACATTCGAAGAGATTTAGGAATTATTGATGAAAATGAAGTGCAATGAACTTAATTTCGCCTATCGCATAGTTTGCATGCATTTATGAATTTTTAATATATTTGGGAATAACCATGTTTAATTTAAAAAAAAAATGGGACGAGTCATAGATTGTCCGATTTGACGGAAACTCTTAGTTCTGTCAATCCAGACGTCCAGTTAATAATCCGAATGTCCTGATCTATGATATTTCAGTTTTTAAATCATGAACTGTGGTCTTTATTTTTCACTTTCCCTCACACTTTTCTCCCTAAAGTCATTCGAACCACCCAAAATCGTTGTAAAAAACTTCAATCTCTTCATCTAATCTAAACACCCAGGAGATTAAAGCTCTCAAAATCCCAAATTTTGCAACTTGCATTCAAAATTCCTCACTTTTGCCCTAAAATCGTGCCCTAGTTCTCTACTCTTCAATACTTAAACAAATTCATAGATGTCGGGGTCTCAACATGGCAAACGAACTGGGATACGTGTAAAGAAAATGGTGAGACGATCTCTATGAAGACATGGACTTGGAGCCCGAGGTACTGGTCAATCCTTTTGAAAAATCCCCAATTCTAATAGGTAAAAATGTTGATTTTGTCCATTTTACTATTGAAACTCTTGCATTTTATATAGAATAATTTTTTAAAAATATGGTTAGGTCTCGGTTGCTGCATTAGAAGAGCATGCATATCCATGCCTCGTAAAGGAGTTTTTATAAAAAAATGGTTATAAATCATCATTCGGATAGCATTTCATGTTTACTTGAATATAAACGTACTATCATCACCAAAACACTCATTCGTGACATTTTAAACCTTGAGTAATGTGAAACACAAATTTTTCTTCACAAAGCACATCTCACATTCGAAGGTTATAATCTTACCGAAGCTTATCATCTAGGTACCAAAAAGAATTTTGAAAATATAACAAAAATCAGTGCAATTGACTCTTCTATGCAAAAGTACTACATAACATCATCGCACATATCATTTTACCTAGAAAAGGTCACCGTAATGAAGTAAGGTCATTCGATCTTTTCATTCTCGACTAATTTCTTTTCAATCGGAAATTGGATTTTTCCACTATTGCATTAGGTATCATAAAGTTAGTTCATTCATCATGTTATATCAAAGCTTTACCATACGAGATGCTTTTAACCAAAATTTTTAAACATTTTGACGTTTCCTTGGATGATGAGACTTTTGTCACATTTTGACCCATCGATACCATAAATATCCAAACACTTAAATGCATGAAAATCGCAAAAGACCATAGCAATAATTTTTTTGTGGCCTTCCGAAAATCTATTTCATGTAGCTTGGCAATGAAATTTTGAACGTAAGGGCAAGCATTTGCTTATGTCTGTCCAAGCTAGCATATTTGTGTGCATTGATTAATAGAAGGGACAAGTTTTGGTTGGGACAAGCTATCACATGCATGGAAGTGAGGCAAGCTATTTTATGGTCAATGGGTAGCACATACAAAAGGATTCGACCCTATCTCTGGTCCCTCTACCCTTACTTTTGAAGAAGTAGTCGAAGATGAAACTGAGGATGAGCCTAAAGCCACAGTTCCTACTTTCAACATTCTCGGTCCCAGTGTACACCGTCCCTTAGGAGGTCGCTTTAAATTCACCGAGGAGCAGTATAATCTCCTCCATGGATGCATCGATTCTCTCACCTCCTCCATCAATAGTCTTGGTATCCTACTCATTCAGATTTAGGCACATTAGACCGCTATCTCAGATCGACAGGCCAAGATGCAGGTGCAGCAACAAGCATTCTTCGTTGACATCTATGCTCGCTTTTCGCTGCCACCGTCGCCCCCGATACCTTAGATTATTTTTCTTTAGTACTTCCTTTTGTCCTATATTTTATAATTTCACTATTTTGACAAACTTTTATCTTATTTCATGCTTGGTACATTCTGAATGATTTTCTTGTGGTTGACTTCCTTGCATATTTAATGTATGTTCAAGTTTTTTTAATATCTTTTTACTTATGCCAAAAGGAGAAGATAGGTAGATGATTCTGCAAAATAGGGGAAACACTGTAAAACTTATAAAATCTGCATATTGAACTTATAAAGTTTTGATAGGAGTATAAGTAAAAACGTTAGGGCGAATGTATTTGCAAAATTCAAAATTTTATATCCTTTGTCAATTTATGCTTCATCAATTTGTTAATTTATCCTTTGCAAATTATCTTGTTTGTCATAATAAAAAAGGGGAGAAATTGTTGACCTAAATCGTTGACTTTTCATTTTAATTATCACAAACAAATTGCATTTAATTCTAACAAATTGATTTCGAGTGTTGATAGTGATTATTGCAAAATCAAGGCACGAAAATCAAGATCTAGAGACATGCACGCTGACAAATGAAATTGGTGATTGCCGAACATAGAGAGAAAATTGAGCTTTCACTTTGAAGAAAAGATCGATCATCAAACTTCAAGACATTAGATATAGATGCATTAAATTTTTATGTAAAGTTAAAAAACACTTCAATTTCTAGCATCGACTATAACTCAAAAGAATTTTTATGTACAAGAACAAATTCACGACACGAAAGTATATTTGCATAAATTTTCAAAAAAAGATAAGTATTTCGACTCAACAATCAAATATTTGTAAAAACACTTATCTTTCAAAATAATTGAGAAAATCCTCCAAGAACTTATATTGATCAATTTTATCACGAAGGAAAAAGTTCGGGGGACAATTTCTGCCCATCTGGACATCCGGATAATCAACGGTCACTTTTTTGACCATTCTGCTTTTTGACTCAAATGGCTAGTTTTTAACCGTTTGAACTCAAACCGAACATTCGGATCATGTATTTAGATTGATAGAATTTTTGCTTGTTTTAGTGCTATAAATACCACTTTTCTTCTTCATTTGATACAGCTTTCTTTGGGCATTTAAGTGAGGCTTTTATTGATCTCAACTATTTTAGATTTCAATCTTTATAAGATCAAAACATCTATTCTTTGAAAAACTTTTTGAAAGATTAGATTTTGTGAAAATCTTTTATCTTATTAAAGTTTTTCAACTTCAATACTTGAACTATACTCATTGCTATTCATTGAAGTATTAGCCTACTTCTCTTTTGATACTTAATAGATCATATCATTTATTAAGAGAGAAGCTTTACTTATAGTTTTATTCTGTTGTTTGACTATAGGTTGTGTTGAAGTCCCAGAAATTTCTACGTTATAAAAGAATCCGTGCTCATTGGTTATAAGTTATCGAAAGTGTTGTAAGAGTTGGATTTCATCATAAGTCAATCAACAATAGTTAAAAAGGCCTTACTTATGCGGAGAGCTTGGTAATGAGGGACGTAGATCGTTGATTGAATCGAACTTCCATAATTATATTGTTTGTGCCTTCTCTTTCCTTCTACTTATTATTTACTCGCCTTATCATATTTGCAATATTGATTTAACTGCTATTTGTTTAAGTTTGTAATCATTTTCAAAAAGTTTTAGAAAATCAATTCACCCCATCTTGGTTAGCTAATCTTGGGCTTTTATTAGTGACAAAATTCTGTAGCCATATTTCTTAATTAGATGTCTCATAACATATTACAAACTTCGCCGCCATAGTTGAAGAAGCTATGAGTGTCTGTTTAACACTTTTCCAGGATATAGCTCCTCCAGCCAGTAGAAAGACATAGTCTGATGTAGATCTCCTATTGTCTTGGCATCTTGCAAAATTAGAATCAAAATTACCAGTGATCTTCAATTCGTCTGATTTCCTGTATGTGAGTATGTAATTTTTTGTTCTCTATAAATATCGTATAGCCCTCTTGGCTACCTTCAAATGATCCATCCTAGGGTTACTTAAAAATTTTCTTAGCATTCCAACAATGAATGCTATATCCAAACGTGTGCATACCTGAGCATACATCAAACTCCCAATTGCTAAGGATAGAGAATTCTCTACATTGCCTTTTCTTCAAGGTCATTCTTAGGGCACTAATTGAGACTAAATTTGTCTCCCTTAGAAACAAGGATATATCCTGGTTTGCAATCTTGCATTCCATATCTCTTAAGTACCATATCAATATAGCTCTTTTGTGATAATCCAAGAATACCCCGAGAACGATCACTGTGTATCTGTATTCCTAATACAAAATAAGCGTCACCAAAATCTTTCATTTTAAAATTCTTTGATTGAAATATCTTAGCTTTGTGCAATAAGCCTATACCATTGTAGGCAAGTAGTATGTCATCGACATACAATNGCTAGGTAGTTAACTGAGCCCTTGTTTGGTTGTGCTAGAAAACATATCTTAAGTAGATTTTGATAAAAATTGATGAAATGTACGATTGAAAAATTAATAAAAGTTGTCAATCCGATGAAATGTGTAATTAAATAATTGTTGAATTTGACCTAAATTTTTATCAACTTTTTTATCTAAACGAAACGAGAGCAAGAAGAAGACCGACAGAAGTTTTCATAACTTGAGGGCGGTCTTGATTATCAAGGTACTTCATTCGTGGGGAAAGTGTTAATTTTCTAATATTTTTTGCAGGTGAATTTGACTGGAGGATACTATGATGCTGGTGACAATATCAAATTTGGGTGGCCAATGGCATTTTCTGTCTCTTTGTTGAGTTGGGCTGTCACTGAATATCAGACTGAGATCTCTGCCGCCAACCAGCTCGGTCACATACGCAGCGCAATTCGATGGGGAGCAGAATACTTACTCCGAGCACACACTTCATCTACCACACTATATACTCAGGTGACTATGTTAAAATCTTATGAAACTTTGTTGCCCTTGAAGTTTAGAAAATAAAGGGTAAATTCTAGCCTAGGATAGTATTAAGACGCGAGGTTCTATATTAAAAGATCAACCTTAATAAAAGTAGTTCAAGTTCTTATAAATTGGCCTATGTTTTCAGCTTTTTTCGACGTGAGATTTAATCTCTTAGCATGTCCAGGCAAGATGACAACTCGTTTGAACAAATCAATCTTGAAATCTGCATGTTCATTTTTTGAGTTTTAATTGAATCAAATTGCTTTTTAGAACTTAATGGAATCTGATACCATACTAAAATTTGAGAATCCATATTAAAGGTCAATCTTATTAAGAGACTCCTAGTCTGAATGATGAAGTTTTAAAATTTTTAAAATAACAAAAGATACGTCTGCAGGTTGGAGATGCAAATAGAGATCATCAATGTTGGGAGCGTCCTGAAGATATGGACACTCCTCGGACACTTTACAAGATTACGTCTAGTTCTCCAGGATCCGAGGTGGCAGCAGAGGCTGCTGCTGCCCTTGCTGCTGCATCAATTGTTTTTAAAGTGGCTGATTCCAAATATTCTGATAGGCTGTTACGCCATTCAAAATTGGTAAGTCGAACAATGTTTCCCCTTTCGAGCCTTTGCCGTCACTAAACTAACTATTATGTTGTCTTCTTTAGCTATTTGAGTTTGCGGACAAGTTTAGAGGATCTTATCAGGGTTCTTGCCCATTCTACTGCTCTTACTCGGGTTATCAGGTAAAAACCCGAGCACATGCTTACTTGTTTTTCTTTCCTTTTAGAGGAATTATTTGGGTTCACAATTTTCTCAGGATGAGTTGCTATGGGCTGCTGCTTGGCTTTACAAAGCAAGTGGAGATAACAGCTATTTGAACTATGCCGCGAGCAATGACGGTTGGAGCCAGGCAGTTTCCGAGTTCAGCTGGGATAACAAATTCGCCGGAGCTCAAACTTTGCTAGCAAAGGCATGTAGTACAAGTTTATTACGTAGAATTAGACAACACGTTAATTTATTTTACAACACGTTAATTTATTTTTCTTTTTTAGAATTGTCTAATATGTAACATTAACAAGATAGGATTTTGATCAGGAATTTTTGAAGGGAAAGACAAATTTGGCTAAGTATAAAACTGGTGCTGATTCATTTGTATGTGCATTGATGCCAGGAAGTAGCTCTCTTCAGATTAAGACAACACCTGGTAAACATCAAAATTGAATTGTTGATGTCTGAAATTCATGAATAAATCATCTTTCTGTGGTGAAATTTTTTTATTTTCAGGTGGGCTGCTTTATATTAGAGACAGCAGTAACCTACAATATGTTACTAGCTCTTCGATGATACTTCTCATCTACTCCAAGATACTAATTTCTGCTGGTGTTCGTGGAGTACAATGTGGTTCAAAGGATTTTTCGATCACTACTATCAAAGC